AAATAAATTTTTTATATTTAATATTTATAAGTTAATTTAAATTTGACTCGAAACTTGATTTGAATTTGACTCAACTCCAATAAATTCAAGTCATAATCAAGTCGAGTTAAACTTGAGTCGAGTCAAATTGAGTCGAAATTTATATAACTTGAATCAAGTCGAGTTAAAAAATTTTATAAAATAAATTTGACTTGACTTGACTTGACTCATTCAGAACTTTATGCTGTGTGACTTATTGCATTATTAAATGCAAATACATCAATATCATCAGGATGTAATTTTTCAAATATGAGAATTGCTTTTTCAGTTATCTAATGTTCATTAAAAGGTTTATAAATAAAATGAAGCATAATTTTTTTAAAAAATATAATTAATTAATTTATTTATTTATTTTTTTTAATTTTTCAATAGATTTAAAATAACTTTGGTAATTTTTATTATCATAATATGATAATTTCTCCTTATTATTTATTTTCCATATATATTATATATCTGTTTAATTAAATCATCCATTTTCCACCATCCATCATAATTGATTTCCAGTTTCATCATAATACAAGACTCCTTCTCTTCAAATTTTAAACGCCCATCAACCTCTATAAGAAAATCACTAATATTCAAACTAAGTCCTGCTCCTTTTTTTCGAAGTGGTTGATGTCCAACTGGTCTCCAGTAAGTTTTTTTTTATCATTAACATAAAAAATAGATTTATTATGTATTATTAATATATGAAGTTTCTCATTTACATCTAAAACTGGTTCTTCTAAAATCATTATATTATCATTTAATGGTTTTGGCATCCAATTTTCTAATTCTAAAATTTCATTTAAAAATCTTGCCTATATTCAATCACATCAGGTCTTTTATAACCATTAAAATAAACATCTTTTCTTTCAATATGAAACTCCCATCCAAAGTATTTTAACCAAGCACGTGCTGTATTATCAGAAATCATTTTTTTCTTTCAATTCCTACACTTAAAAATACTTCCTGTTTAATATAAGTCTTAAACCCATTTACTATTATATCACAATCAACACTTCAAAGATATTCTGTAATCATTTGATGAATATCTTCATCACCTAACAAACTTTTTACTTTTTGATATTTTTCACGCAGTGATATTAAAATCTGACGATGAATAATAAAATTTTGACTCTATGATCTAATTAATCATGCTTAATTATCTCCCTTTTCAATGTTAATTGCAAGAATTTTGCTTGCATTCATACATTTAAGACTACTTAACTGCAAATTAATATCTTGTATTATAAGCTGTAATTATGTTTTAACTTGTAAGATTAAAGATTTGTCAGTAATTAGTTTCTTTAAATCCTCCAATGTTAACTTAAAACCTTCTTATTCTTGATCCCTTTCAAGTTGCTTTAGATTATTTGCAAGCTCCTTTGTAGATTGATGTGATATTTGTTAAGATGTGAAAAAAAAGTATCAAGTTTGGAGATACTAGCTGTTGCAGTTTTAGCAGCTAATTTTTTACGTCTTTGTATTCTTTTTGAATTTCAAATATAAACCAATGGACGTTTATTTATAAATGATGTTGGTACTTTTGCATTTTCAATCATAATATCAAAAGCAGTCTGTGAAATTTGTTTTAGGTTTTCGAATTCATCATTATGCCAATCATCATCTAAATCATGACAATCTGACAATTTATTCTCATCACAATTTGCAATTAATAAAGTTGCATTTTTTTTTAAAGCTTTACTATTTCGTGCAACCGCAAGTTGAACTTTTCGTGTCTTTGGTGGCATTTTTATAAAGTAAAAAAATCTGCAAATATAGATTACGCTAAAAAAAAAATTTTCACATGTTAAAGATAAGATTATGCTAAAAAAAATTTTCACATGCTAAAGATATAATCATTCTGATCCATTTTAAAATTTTTAATTCTGCCCAGTTTATAAATTTTGGCCTGCATTATATTAGTATCGAACTGGCCAAAATTTGCCAAATTTATTCAAAACATAGTAAAATAACTGATATTAAAATTTATATATTTTATGCTATAATAATTCAATTTGAATAAACTCTCTATTATATTAAAGAGTATTATTCAAATTATAATTTTACAGAAAGATTTTTGAATAATATTAAATTCAATTGTTTTTTCTATTTATTTGAAATCACATGATATAAAGTGGTGGTTTTAAACTGTATGCATCATAGTTTTATCAGATTTTTCATAATATAACTCAAGTTTTTTTAATCCTGCTTTAATAGCAATTACTATGTGATTAGAACTATCTAAATTTTCACAATATGCTTCAAGTCCATCCATTAAATAATTATATATTGGTATGGAAGAAAAAAACATAGGATATTTTGCAGATGAAAGTATTTTAGTAGTTTGTACAAATATCTATTTAATATAAAATAAATTTTTTTAATTAATTATAAGGATTAAATTTATTAAAAACTTATTTTTATTTGTCAACTTTCTTACTTTCAAAACAAAAATAATCTATTTTATTTTATCCTATTCATCATCAATAATTTCAAAATTTCTGAGATCTTTATCTGAATTTTCTATTGCATTTATTGCCTATAATATAAAAAAATATTATTATATTAATATAATAAAAAAAGCAAATGTATATAATATGATAAATACTCTAATCACTTGCATCACAAATACACGATTAAGCATATCAAATATAGAGTTCTATCACATTTAACATCTAAGATAAAGTTAAACTCTTTAAGATTAACAGCTTCAGCATAATATACAAACTTTTCTTTACATTGTGGTAATGATTTTATTTTGATTATAAGCTTACGAAGCTAATTATGATATAAAATTAATATTATAATAATTTAAAATTTAAAGAAATATGAAAAATTAATCTACTTTAGAAATTATTTCTCTAGCATTTATAATTAAATTCATATTATTCATGATATCATCTTCAATTTGTGCTTTACTAGCTTTAACTTGTTTTAAGATTTCTTATACAACTAAATTTATTATATGGACAAAACATTGACAATGGGAATTAATAACATCAAAGGAAATATTTTCCATTTGACAAGTATTTTCTAACATTCCATAAAGGTAATATTATTTGAAGCATCTGTTAAAGTTACAATGATTTTATTAGTTATATTTCAAGTTTGTATAAATATAATAATGAAACAATTAAAAAAAAAATAAAGCAGTTAAAAAAATAAATAATTAAAAAAAATTAAAGAAAAATAAAAATAAAAATAAAAAAAAATGAAGTAAAAAACAAAACAAAAATTAAAAAATAAAATAAAAATAAAATAAAAAATTAAAAAAAAAAAATAAACAAATATTTATTTATCTTTTCTAAAATTCCAAACTCATGACAACTTTTTATGAAAGCATTACAGAGATTTTCACCTGAATGAGAAAGGATCAGAAAGATTTATAAAATCTAACAATTTATCCTGAAGCTTTCAATCTTTAGTAATCCAATGTATTGTTATAGCTAAAAAGGAATAACCATTCATTGATGTTTATGAATCAATTGCAAAAGAAATTCTCTCAGATGCATTCTATTAAATAGATAAATTGTTTAATAAAAAAAAAAAAAAATTTTTAAAAAAAAAATTTATACATATATTTAAATTACCTGAAACAATTTACTCATTTTTTTTTGTTCCACTTTAAAACT